TTCTGGTGAATCTATCACGATGGATCAAGTGACCTGACATTATCTTCCACTAATACCCCGCCAGCGTATACCAAAAGCGTTGGTTGGGTTATTATTTCTTAATAAAAACTGTATGCCGATTGATTAATAAATCTTAAAATTTGGGGAGGAAGCGATTGTTAGTAATGCGGACTACCAGTCCCATTACTAGCAATATACCCTATCAGGTCGACCTCCACGGGGTCCCTCCTGAAAACCATCATGCTGAATTCCAGTTGTATTCATCACGATAGACAGATCTCTCACTGGTGCCCCGCCAGCGTATACCTTTAGCGCAAAGGGTGTTGCTATTCCATTATCATCCATTTAAAAAAAAGAAACTATTTGTAATTTTGAACGTAGCAGATACCAAAAAAATTTAATTTGAACAATAAAAAACATCGTTACTTCCTTCCATCATTAATCCTGTGTAAACATACAGTAGTAGAATCCCCTTTTCTAACATTAGACTTTAATATACAAATATGGATATGTCAAGTAATACGTTCACAACGATTATAATCGACAAATGCCTCTAACTACCCCATTAGGAATTACAGTAGTGAATATACATACATTTATTCCTCCTTTGTCATAAACCAGAAACCATTTGAGGACTGGTCTATGGTCTGTCGGATATGCGCTCTAATTACTAAACTGAAACGGTGCGAGTGCCTACTACGAACCGGAAAAACTTTCGTGGCTGCGACGTTTTCGTAAATATAGCACCAGGAAGAACTATCGTGACGTTAATGTATACGATGGTTTGTAACCCAGTTGGAGAGAGGAAATTAGAAGCTATAAATATGACATAACAAGCCCTGCTTAGTTTGTTACTAGATGGCGCTGTGTCAAGTTATATTTACGAGTATTTAAAATTAATATATAATTATTAAATAACACCATAAAGAAAAGAAACAGCATATTTACGTATTCTAACATTTTGTAATGTTTTATAACTAACTATAAATTTTAATAACTATAATTTATTATACTAATATATTATTGGTGAAAATGGTATGGTAACCCCTCCTACGCTAACGGGATACGCTGGCGGAGCACCAGTGAAGGGTGATAGATGAGAATGAAAACAGGCCAATTAGTCCAACATGATGAATTCATCAGGAATTAACCATGATAGTTTCCAGGGAGAACCGCGAGGAGGTCGACCTGGTTGCGTATATTGCTAGCAACAGGATACTCAGTCTCCATTACTAACAATCCCTTTCTCCCCCGTTTAGAATATTATGCAGTTCCAAAAATGTATATTTATACCATCGATGATGTGCATCATATTCTATTAGAGTGTCGTATTAACACGAAGGAAAGAGAAGAATTCATGCGCCACTTTAACTTAAATAAATTGAATGTTGGTCTTATTCAAACTATGTTAGCTGAACTTAAACCAGAAATTTTTTAACATCTGTGTAAATTATTGATGCCCGTTAATTCTTCTCTTTCCGCGTCTAGGGAAGGTAGATAAAGTTTTGTTGGAGAAATCAGTTCAGGGTACAATAGGACTGATATACCTGAAGAAGGTAAAAGCCCTTAAAATATTTAAAAAAAAATGTATATTTAAGATAAAATTTGATGAACAAACTCCAACAATGAAAAAAGAATAATAAATTCCATGCTTAAGATAACAATAACCTAATTGTAAGCACAGCTGTAATTGTACATATTTATATATCTTTTAATACAACATCACTGGTTAGGTACATAACATTCCAATTACGTATTATAATTTCGTAATTTCGCATTGCTCCGAAATCGCGAGTTACGCGATGATTTTTCCAAAGTTAATTTAAACAAATAGATTTAAGCTTCGCAAAAAAGGAGTGATTTCAATTGTAAGAAAATTATAATTGTTTATAGTAATCCCTAATCTCTGCCGTGTAGGTCCCAGCGTACCTACAACATATCCATATACATATGGGCCACCCCTTCCTTTCCCGTGAGTGTCCTGAGAGACGACTAAGGGAACTATTTGGTATATACTCTATATTGGAATACAGCTGTTCCGCGGCTTCACCTGCATGAGGCAATAAGTAAAATAAAATATTCTATGTGCTAAATTAGATATAACCTCCTGTGTACCAAATTTCATTCAATGTTAGAATGTATTTTTGAGTGTTTACAAGCAAAGTCTATATATATTTTGCTTTACAACGAGCATTTTCTTACTCTGTAAAGATTCTTCAATTTGATTCAATTTCTTCATATTGTGATTTTTAAAGCTACAGCTTTAAAAATCACAATATGGAACTAGCACACAGTCCTACCAAATGCAAAAACAATTCTAAAAATTGATTCAGAACTAGCAACATAATCGCGTAACTTAATGAAAAAGAAAAATCAGACTCATTCTTCTTTTGGAAGTCACTTAAAAATTGAATCCTCACTAATACATATTATATGTAAACAATTCACTTTTATCCCAATCAGTGGCCATATCCCGATCATGCAGAAGTCATGGATCAAAGCTAATGTTAATACATAAAAGATTAGTATAAGCCAAATAAACATACAAACTCAATTTGAAACTTTTTAGTAAAGATTGTTAATTATAGACTTGAAGTTATTATTAACTTAATTTTTATTAGCAAATTCGCATATCAAAACAAGTCTGTGTGTTATAATTCCTATTATAATAATTTAGTAACAAAACAATTTTAGTATCTATCAAAACAAATACCCGGAATAACAGCCCTGCTGATAAACTGATACTACATATAAAATAGATAAACTTTTTAAATGTCAACTGTTAATTAACTATGTTTTATATTACATTGTTATAGTCTTGTTGGAAATTTTGCCAGTAAATAAATGCTAAATATCATAATTGATCTACCATCCACTGCCATGGTCCACTACTGAACCTAAGCCTTTTTCATAAGAGTTTTGTTAGTAGTTGCCACACTTAGCAAGCAGGTTGACAACCACAGTTAGGTTAAACATCATAATAATAACTTTAAATTCACCAATAATAATATAATCTGTTCTATATTTTGAATTAATAAACAATTTTCGCATATGTTTTTAACAAAATTGCAGTAGACAAAAACAATAAAATGGCTAAAATAAAAAAATAATAAATCTTTATATTAATTGACTATATATTGTTTACTGATCTGTTTTATAATTAATTAACATAAAAACAAATGCTAAGACTGTTTACTATGCCAAGTATATAAAAAAAAACTGCACAGTTCTTGTTTATTATCTCTATAGTTCATGTTTATATTAATTTGAACTAATTAGAATTAAATACCATATTTTTCTTAATCTCAGTTATAAGCGTAAATGTAATTATTATAGTAAATTATAGCAATCAACTTAATATAATTATATTAAAACGCTAGATACTAACTAATATAATTGCAGTATTGTCTAATTGTTTTTACTTGTGTCTGTGTGAGTCATACAATACAAAACTGTTATAGTATCTTGACACACTAATGTTACAATTATATATCAATAATGTACACTATATCTACGATACTTTATTATCAACAAAGCTTTAAATATATTTGATTTACTATTAGAAAACAACAGGTGAGATTACAAGTAAATCATACCTGATTATTATTATCAATTATCCTAAATTTTAAATTTGTACAAAGAATGTGATAATTTAAAATTAACTTATGCTTTAAATGCTCTATGGACTGGGCATAGAATGGGCCACTTCTTCCTCTTCTGTGGATGTGATAAGAAGTGACTAAAGGATATTATATGGTCAAGGAAAGGGTAGCAGCATCCTTCTTAAAGATCATTAAAACCTAAACACAGTTGTAAACCCAACTGCCAAGCGTGACAACTACTTGCAAAATCCACCTGGATTGTATGGAATTGGCCTATGTTCAGAAGTGGATAGTTAAAGTTATATGATGATTATGAATGTTTTAAATACACAAATGCAAGAGACAATGTTAAAATGTTGAAGAACTAAAATTGATTTAGTAGTTGGTTACTAATATTCTTTTTGAAACATATATACTGATTATACAGTCAGAATGCTGAATTTATGACTGATGGTCAATCATGCACATTTTGATGGATTAGCAATATTTCACAGCAAATATATGAGCTCTGACATATTGCTTATGATTTTATTGTAACAATTTTAATGAATCATTGTCAGCTTTTGTTAAGTAAACTAAACACACATGTCAATAACAATATAAATATCAAATTATATTTAATATTAATATTTTAAAATCACCAATAAGGAGTTTATCATTTATAAAAAGTGCAGGAATATAGCCCTACAATAAGTGATACATGTACAAAAAAAATGTTTGTACTAAAGCTATGAAATACAATGCTCATAATTATAATCCCTGAGTTGTCAAAGGTATATTTTGTTCACTATGGTCATTGTAAGAATATAACACTCAAGATGCTCACATTTTGCTAAACATATTACCAATATGACAGGAGACAAGCATACCACAATATAATACATTCTTAGATTTTTTAAGATAGTTAATATTTGCAATTAAATATAATTGAAAATGAATCCTATGAATATTATTAATTGACAAATTTGTAATGACGACAATGGATGTTTGATAGTCTTTTCTGCAAAAGCTACTCAATGAATTTTAATTAAATTTGGTACACAGGTAGATTATATCCCTATCAAGATACTTTATGTACTGAACAACACAGGCAAAGACATAGAATACAGTAACATAGGGTAGTAACTAATAATCTTTTTTTAATTAATCACAAATATAACTAAATAATACTGTGACTCAATAATAAATTACAACAAAAGTTCAAGTTGAAATGTCACTTGTTTTAGGAATACCAAGAGTAAGTATCAATTCTTTTGCTTAAACTGTGAGTATCCTAGCATAATAGTGGAATTTGATATAAGATTTATTAAATCCTAAAAATCTCTTAAGTAATCAGTATATCATAGAAAAAATTAGTTAGTTTTATAAAATTGTTAACAATAATATGAGTAAACATACCTTGAAAGAGCTGTGCACTAATGTTTCATCAAGATCAATAACCATACATTTTTTATGCATGTCTTGATGTCTCACTGGTGGCAATAATGGTCTTGGAGCATGGTCTGCCATAACCAAGAGAGGAGGTGAAGCCCTGCCATCAATACTGTTTGTGCCATTTCCACCAGGGGGACCTTTGCCTCTTCCACCACGCCAGCAGCACAAGAGTGACCGCAAAAATCCGCCGCTGCCACTCGACTTTTTACTCCCTAACGGGGTGGATCCTGACACAGGGGTTCCATCCCCATCACTATGTTGTCCACCCGGTGGTGACCCTAAAAAAACCGACATATCACATAAAACTCACTACAACACCAGCACACGCGGAAGACCAAATCGGCATTCTATGTGGGATTGGTCTAAGTAAAGACAAGCTCTCAAGGTTGCTGTTAGGAATGTTATCGCGTTCACACGTTCCAAGTGTTTACCTCTGAGCCCGCACAAACCAGTAACGCAATTCCTAAAATATGAAACTTTCGGTCATTTGTTGATTCCACATACATAATGATCGACAAATATTTACGAGTCACGAAGAGGTAACACTATACGCTCTAATTTGATGCGAGTAGGTAACAGGTGTAATTCGGTTTAGATTTACCTCTGTCGGAGCCATAATTGTTTAATTGCTCGTCATCCCGTGACACCTGAGTTATAATGGACGATGCGTCCATTTAAACATTTGTTTTGGGTCCTAATACAAATGGGAACGGAGTTTTTGTAAAATTTTAACACCATAAAACTATTTTTTATCTCCCTTCTATCTTACAAAATGGCAGGCTCTTGGCAAATACCAACTACAACTTTGGCCAACATAACAAAATAAAACATTGTCTTTCTCTTTCAGTTTCTTTGAATTAAAAAGAATAAACAATATTTTACCTATTGTTGTTATGTTGTTCAACTTGACTACAACCAAAAATAGAATACTGTCGTTCGGAAGTTTAAATTAAAAGTCGTTATTGTAATTATTTCGATTAAGAATAAAACGAAATTAAAATATTTTACACAATAAATTCTTTATCCGGGAAATTTAAAACATTTATATTATTTAAACTGCATATTAAAATGTAGGTAATTTTGCATATTCGACAGGTTTTTTTATCATTTCTCGTTGAATACTACTTATGAGATTATTCGTATCCATCATAAATATAGGACATTGGCGGTCTATCATTATTATATAAATAAAGATTCAAAATATGTGATTTTACCTACCATACATGACTGTATGATTGCAGTCTCTTTTCATCTTCATAGAAAGAAAAAAAAATAGGAAATTAAATGAAATGTCATATTGACACTTGTCAACATTCATTTAATGTCTTTACGTTTGTGATCTGACAGTTGTCATTTTATTTTACGACGTCTTTGTGTATCACTAAACGACTTTCATTAGAAGTGAAACGATAGATAATTATTTATAAATAACACAAAATACGGTTTTACTTTAACAGTCGTAATAAACTAGATCTGTAGTAATTATATAAATTGCACATTGTTCAAGATGTCTCACAAGGATCCAGGACCTATCCCTAACAGGTGGCTAAAGTGCCCACGAAAGGCTACTAGTTTGGTTGCAGACAAATTTTTAGCTTTTAAGACACCTCTAGGTAGTCAATTTAACGACAAAGTACCTGAAGAAAGTCGATTTACACCCTCTATGCTGTTCTCCTTTATGAAAAGCATGAAGGTATGTATTGTTTGCATGCATCAACAGTTTATTTATTGACCTACTGCCAAAAGTGCTTTATAACTGCTTTGGTGAATTATTTACTTAGTTTTTATATATAGGTCAGTGACTAGCCTCACTAGGAGAATTGACAGAGAAGAAATAATTCAATTGATTAAAAGACTTGAGACATCCTATAGAGATGTAAACTAATAAAATCAATCTAACTTTAGATATGTCAGAATAGAAACAAATGGTAGTCTCTCTGCCTAATAAAAAATATTTATATTAAGTACTTACATTATACAATATCATTATCAATTCTTAATAAATTTTCTCAAGATTAAAGTTATTTTGTTTATATCATAGTGTGAATACACAATCAGAATAGTATTATAAATATGAAAGTTTGTAAGGATGGATATTTGGTACTCTTTCATGCAAAACCTACTGAATGGATTTGAATAAAATATTGTACATGGATAATTTATATACATTGGATGTGTTCTAAGTTAGGATATATTCTTATATACTGATTCACATGGGCAAAGTCATGGGATACAACTAATTTTTAGTAAAAGGAAAATACTTTTTTTTTCTATAAGACTTCGTGGCTATAAATAGAGATGTAATTGCTTTAATCACTAGTATTTGAAATAACAACTATCACCCATTGCTGTAATTATATATTTACTGTAAATATTTTCTATATAAATCTAATATAATAATAAGTTTTTTTTAACGAGCAATAATAAAATAGAGATGTATAGAAATAGTATAGCTATCGGTATACACTGGCAATGCACCAGTGAATATTCTGACAGGTCGACCTCCACATGGTCCCTCCTGGAAACTCGTGCTGAACAATGGGCTAACTGACCTGCATATACTGTTAGCGCAGGCAAGGTTGCGATCCCATTATCATACATTAAAAAAAATGTACCAGTAAATGATGATAGGTGAGGATAAAAGTAAGGCCATTGTGACAAATTCAACAATTATTAACTACAATAGTTTCCAGTGGGAATCATGTGGGGGTCAACCTAATAATGTATATTGGTAACAAGTAGGCATTTAGACCCCATTACTAACAATCCCTTTCCCTTTTTGCAATGGTATTTAGGTGCTAGATTTTTGTCAAATATAACTAAATAAATATTTTATTATTAATGTAAATGAGGATCTACCCTGAGGTTAAATAGTATGGAGTCAATTATTGAGAATGAACTTTTCTAAATTAACTTAGGCTGGGTGTTTCAGGTTTCATTTCCTATGGCCTTTGCCTAATAAGGCATGACAGCATATTGTAGCCTTAAAACCAGGTATCTGATGTGATCTTGTTATTACAGTAGAATCTTGATTATTTGAACCTATTCTTTACTGTTCTAATTACCTATTTAGAAAGAGTATTATGTATTAACTAGCGGCCCGTCCCGGTTTCGCACGGGTGGACATTTTTACATTTTAAAAAGTGGCCATTAAAGCAGCACACGCGACGAAAGCTTAAAAAAATGGAGTAACTTCTCCCGTTTTCCCAACATTTCCCTTCACTGCTCTGCTCCTATTGATCGTAGTGTGATGAAAAGTATACTATAACCTGCCCAGGAGTATGAAGAATAATTGTACCAAGTTTTGTTAAAATCTGTTGAGTAGTTTTTGTTTCTATAACGAATGTACAGACAGTCAGACAAAAATTTTACTGATTGCATTTTTTGCATCAGTCTCAGTCACTAATCACCCCCTGTTAGTTATTTTCAAAATATATTTCATGTACAGAATGGACATCTCTACAGATTTATTATAAGTATAGAAGATTGTATAAATAGATATTAGTATTATGTAATCCATTATCCTTATAGCTCATAATTATTTATATCGTAATGACTAAATGACATATGTTAAATATGGTTAATTGTTTTTAAAGTCAAATTAAACAATTAGACACTAATGCTTGTTACAGGTAAAGCTTGGATTATGGATTGATTTGACTAACACCAGCCGTTTTTATGACAAGAAGGAGATTGAAAATATGGATTGCAAATATGTAAAATTGCAGTGTCGTGGACATGGTGAAACACCATCTCTTGACCAGACTAAGTAATTTTAACTCATAGATAAATATTATCTCAGTAATTCGTTTCTGCAAATTTACTGACCGACTCAACAAATACAAATTTATAATTTTTTTTCTAAAAAAATATTGAGCTGTTTCAGAGATTGCATGAACAAACATAGTGACACAAAATTTTTATATAGATATTAATATTTACAATCAAGTTGATATTCATAATTCATTCATATAATATTTATTCTAATCTACTTATAATCATAAATAACACAATAAGTACCAATTTATTGTAGAAATACCTAAATTTACTTGTATTTTTACAACAAAAAAAGAGAATATTTAATATTTTTACAATAAATTATAAATAATATAATGAACAATTATAATTTATCATAAGTTATAACAATTATGAGATTTTTGACATTAAATCATATTACTAGCTTAGACTTGTGTATAATAAATAAGTTTAAGAAATAGACAATCTCATATCTGATGAGTCATCAGTGACCAGATTGTCCATTGTGATGGTGATGAACTGATACCCTTCATTATCACAACAGATCAGAGAATATTCAAGAACAGATAAATGGATTACAATGACATTTGGTATACTTTATATTACCAAATACATCTATAGAAACAATTGTTTTTTTTTTTTATTTTTGGTGATTATATTTTATATGTTCATTTTATAATTTCAGAACATTCATTCAACTAGTGAGCAAATTTCTCGCACAGAATCCTCTACAGGTGATTGGTGTCCACTGTACTCACGGTTTCAACAGAACTGGCTTTCTCTTAGTCTCATATATGGTGGAACATTTGGATTGCAGTGTTGAGGGTGCCCTGTATGAGTTCTCGAAGCTGAGGTAAACTTTCTTGTGACAGTTTGTGAAGATCTTTATAAATATGCACTAGTAATATCTCTTGTGTTGAAAGCTTTTGTTAGCCATTTTTAATCATGTAAATGTCAAAGTCAGCTTGTTTGCCTCCTTAAGGATTAAAGGAAATTTGTGATTGTTGACACTTTTTTTTATCTGCCACCTTTATAAAGGGTATGATGGGATGACCTTTATAAAGGGAAGAGAAATTGTTATAGTGCAAATTAATATGAGGAGTCTTAATAAGAACAATAGAAGCTAAAACAATAATTTTTATAAATTTTGTCTATATATGTATGTAAAATTTTATTTATTCCAATATCACGTAAAAGCTACTGCTTCAAATTGAATGCGATTTTCATAGTTGTGTTCCTAAAGGTTTAATTTAAAAACCGATGTATGTTTTATCTTAATACGACATATAGAATTGGTATTTTTCATAAATTTTTCTACTTCTAGAATCCACACGTAACTTGTAGTAAAAAAGATAGTAGCTTTTTTTATACCACTGAGGTGGCAAGCATACGGCCTGATGGTAAGTGGTTACCGTAGCCTATGAACACCTGCAATACCAGAGGTATTACGCGCGCGTTGCCGACCCTGTAGAAACCTCTTTACCTCCCTTTTGAAGAACCCCATGCTCTAGTCTCTTGGGAAAATCTCGGCAGGGAACTCATTCCATAACCTGAATGTTCGTGGGAGGAAACATCTCTGAAACCGCGCTATACGCTACCATTTAGGCTGTAGGGCATGAGCATGAACTCCCTGTCTATGGCGAGCTGTACGTATACTTAATATAATACATTTATTTCCTAGACCTCCGGGCATATACAAGCAGGATTATCTACAAGAGTTATACAGGAGGTATGACGATGTCGAATTTACTCCTGCAGCTCCAGAGAGGCCTAGCTGGTGTATTGGTAAATATTGCCAGTTTTGTTGTTATTTTATTACTTAAAAATAAACCTGTATAATAAAAATAGTTATAATCTTTTCCCGTTTCTCGGTTGACAAATAGTATGTAAATAGCAACTTTATACAATTTCTCAATATGTTGATATTCGAATGATTTGTTATATTGGAATTTAGTTGCAATCCATATGTTTTTTTATCGCACTTAACCTCGTCCCCCGTATGTAAAATTCGCTCGTCAATGTAGAGAAAATAGATTTTTTGTTTGAACCTCAGTCGCAGTTAATGGATATTCCGCAAGTAGATATCCAAAATACGAGTACAGTATGTTAATTAAGATAAACCATTCCTTAAAACTGATGATAGTACTTATAATAAGGTAATTTTTTTTCCTAAGACAAATCATGTTCCTAGAATAAATATTTTTTGAGACCTTATTAATGAACACTAACGTCATTTTAAGGAATAGGTTTTTTAAATAACATACTGTATAATATAGACAAGTGCCTTGTGACATATACAGTTTACTGGGTATCCTCCACCCAGAATATAAATAAAGGTATTAAATGGATTTTTTGCCATTAATAATTCATAATTCACTTTTTTAGAGGAGGAAGAAATTGATTATGATGATGATGATGTCCCAAATGCACAATCTGAACCAGAACCAAACAGTTCATCACAGTAAGTTTCAATTACAATCCATAATTAATATATTTGGGAAACGTAAAAGAGCTTATATTTTCTACAGGCCCTTAAGTAACTTAGTTTATGAATATTTTAAATGAAGACATAAAATAAAAATGGAAGGATGCAGGAGACCTTGACTAACCTATGACGAGATGTATAAATAAATATGTATAAAGTAGAAAGATTTGATTGCTTATTTGGTATGAATATATTCAAAAACTATTCAACTGATTTTAAAAATTCTTTCACCTATAGAAAGCTACATTATCAGCGAGTAACAAAAACTATATATTATTTCCGAAAATTCTATTTTCGCATCCTAAAACTAAAGTGTTTATAAAGGCACAGTCTATGTCTCACGCCCTTTTTATTTCTACCGGGATATATTTACTGAGCAGGATAAAAGGTAGCACATACACTTCTCTATTCCATATTATATCTGTATACCAAATTTCATACTGATTTGTTAAAGCATTAAGAAATAACAAACAAACACAATAATAATAAAGATCATATTTGGAACTATTACATTTATTTATTTGTTATATGTTGGCCAATATTTAATATATATTATGTGGAAACAAAATATTAATCAAAGATAAAGTATTTTATCTATGTCTTTATATATTTCAGTTCTGGCCACAAACGGAAAGGTAGAAAGGAGACTACACACAAAAAGGCTGTATTTGTACCTGGAGTAAGAGGCGTGGAGCCCTTCAATACTCAGCCACGCCTCAGCGAAGTACAGAGGAAGACACAAAAGTTTTGCGAATGGGATAAAACAGGGTTCCCAGGTGCGCAGCCTGTTTCTATGGATGTAACAAATTTGAGGAAATTACATGAAAAACCATACAGAGTTTCATGGAAAGCGGACGGAGTGAGGTGAGTTGAAGAAATAAACCATAGAAAGTTGTTTAATATCAAATGTCACCTACATTCAAGTAATATTTATCCTTCTTCTGTATCACAATAAAATTCAATTTTAATCAAGTTAAAAAGCCCTTGTTTCCATCGCCAAACAATTGTGCATGTATTTTTCTTCCAAAATCAATGAGGGGGATATTGTCGGGAATACTATGATTATATATATGATTTTATATTTATATTTATATGATATATAATATGATTTTACCTATCCTTGATATCCTTTTACCCACCATTACCTTACTTTTCAACAATTCCCTGTCCTCCGGTTTCTTTCCTTCAGCTTGGAAAGCAGCTTTCATAATCCCTCTACCAAAAAAGAAACTTCCTTCCTCGTTCTCAGATTACCGTCCAATTTCTATACTCCCTTTTCTATCCAAAGCCTTAGAACGCCTTGTCCAACAAAAACTTAACTTTTACCTATCAAGAAACAATCTCTTAAATCCTCTTCAATCTGGTTTCCGTCCTGGTCATAGTACGACTACTGCTCTTATTAAAATTTCTGACGATATCCGTTTTGGCATGGAGAATTCTCAATTAACGGTCTTAACATTATTGGACTTTAGCAATGCTTTTAATACTGTTGATTTTGATATTTTGTTAGGATTGCTAACCTCTCTCAACATATCTCCAACGGCAATTGACTGGTTTCGTAGTTACCTGTTTGGACGTCGGCAACGTATTCGCATTGATGACGTTTTATCTTCTTGGTGCCATACGTCAGCTGGCGTGCCGCAGGGTGGCGTCTTATCTCCTCTTCTATTTGCCTTATTTATTAGCACTATCACTTCGAAACTTCAATCTTCCTACCACCTTTATGCAGATGATTTACAGATTTACTCTTTAGCCCCTCTGGTTGATATCTCTTTAGCAATATCTACTGTTAACGCCGATCTGGAACGTATATCTGCGTGGAGTAAATCTCATGGTCTTGTTATAAACCCCTTGAAGACACAAGCCATTATTATTGGGAGTCCCATACTTATTTCCAAAATTTCCTCGACCAGTCTTCCGCCTGTGGTTTTTGATGGGGTTATGATAGATTACCAGAAAAAAGTAAAAAATCTTGGCATTATTTTTGATAACACTTTGTCATGGTCTCCACAAATCTCGGAGGTCAGTAAAAAAATGTTTGCTGCAACTTTTGCCTTAAATAGACTACGTAATTTCCTCCCAGTTAACACCAAAATTGCGCTCGCACACACCTTACTCCTACCCATTCTTGATTATGCCGACTCATGTTATTTAGACCTCACCGAAGAGCAATTAAACAAGCTTGAGCGTCTCCAAAATTTATGTATCCGCTTCATATTTGGTCTTCGCAAATATGATCACATTTCTCAATTTCGTACTCAACTCAAGTGGCTCTCTATCCATTTTCGTCGTAATCTGCATATCCTGTCTCTTCTTTACACAATCCTTTTTAATCCTGCTGCTCCTGATTATCTAAAAGACCGATTCTTGTTTCTCAGTGAGGCTAATGATCATACTTTACGCAGTGTCAATAACCTCCGACTTAAATTTCCCACTCATTCTTCTTCCTTTTATTCTAAATCCTTTACTGTTCAGGCAGTTCGTCTATGGAACTCACTACCTACCTCTATTCGGTGCGCTCAAACTCTTACTAGCTTCAAAACCTCTGTTAAATCTTACTACCTCTCACTTTAGTACTATTTTCCTGTGTTCTCTCTTCATTTTCCTTCGTCATTTTTTTCTGTTGTATGTATGCTGTTAAGTATGTGTATATATGTATGTATGTATCTATATATGTTTGTATATGATAATATTTATATAATAGTGCGCCACCTACTCTTTGTCTTTTTCTCAATGTCCTCTACCCAAAGGTTGTCTGGAAGAGATTGCTTAGCGATAAGGCCGCCTTTTGTGTCACTTCTCATTAATATTTACTGTATTTGTTATTTCTCTTTTTATTTGGTGCAATAAAGTGTAAATAAATAAATAAATACTTAATATGGAGATGCAACACCATCACGAAAGGCAGCGCAGGAGTGTCATGGGTGTTTTACAACAATCGTATCATAGATATTAGTTATCACATTTATTCTAGCATTTTCTTTTAATTAAATTTACAATTATTTCCTATAAAAATGTTTATGTTCTAAGTGTTATTGGTACCCACCATATTTCTTCTTTCTCTCTTTCACTTTTCCTTGAGGATTCCTTGTACAATTTAGTTTACAATCCATATTTTTATCTTCTATGTTTATTTCCAAAGGTACATGATGTTAATAGACGGCGAGGGAGAGGTGTACATGTTTGACAGAGACAACTGTGCCTTCAAAGTGTTTGGTTTAAGATTCCTGCACAGACATGATCTGAGAAGACATCTAAAGGATACATTGCTTGATGGTGTTAGTAAGCAGTTATTTTTAATATTTTTGATATACTTAATACTTTTGTACGTGTGAATGTCATTAAATTAAACTAAGATTACTATATATGCATTAATTGAAAAATTTAAAGAATAAGACCTATTATTTTTATTATTATATCAGTAATTAACTGTCCACTGCTGAACATAGGTCTCTCCCGTAAGGATGTCGGTTGCCAAGAGTGGCAACTACGGGCAAAATTCCGCTTTATTGGCGAGGCCTATGTCCAGCAGTGGGCAGTTAACGGCTGATATGGTATGAATATTAAAATTCGTGTTGCATGTCGTTTATCTCGTTAAGTTAATACAAACAATACATTTTTACAAAATTTCATTAATATCTGTTAAGCGATTTCGGAGATTAACGTGTACAAACATTGTGACAAAGGATTTTATATACGAGTATTAAAATGTGTTTGTTGTTTGCAGGAATTAGTTATAGACAAAGTGAAAGGTCAAAACATACCAAGGTATCTAGTTTACGATATAATAAAATACGAGGGAGAAGACGTCGGCAAAATGGCGTTCTACCCCACGCGGTTGGAGTACATTGAGAAAGAAATTGTTAATCCCAGGTATGCCACAATTAGTGTCTATGTATCTATGTCTATTTTTATAATTTTATATGTATATTAATTATATCCCGCGACTCGGCTCGGGGTCCTATCGTCATAATAAATTGACATAGAAAAGAGAGACTTTACCAAAGGGAGACTGTACAAAAGTCGATTGCTTGGGTACCTCTGTCCCATTCGTATTTCAACCGTGAAGCAGTTGTGTCTGCATGGTTGTGTTTCGGTTTGAAGGGTGGGATATGGCGTGAATTTACAGGGTACAGAGGAATAACACCTGAGTCCTCAGGAGCGGCAACGTATGGGGGGGTATTATGGGCGAAACAGTATACTCTGTTATGTCTATGGTACTGCTCATGTCTATAGGCGACGGTTACCACTTTCCATCAGGTGGGCCGTCAGCTTGTTTGCCATTCTAAGTTGTATAAAAAAAAGAACATAGAATTAGGTAAAGACCTTAAGAAATGAAATGTCAAATGCGATTTTTTTTTCATATCCAATTGGCGGTTTCAGAGATAAGTGTGTTCAAATAAAATTTCTACTTTAAAAAGTTAGAGGCTTTCAATTCAAGTGTATTTTTTTTTTTCACGTTTGTTACCCTAATAACATCGTCTGTTATAAACCGATTTGGAAAATTATTTTTTTATATGAAAGGATGTACCACTTAAATAAAATTTCTATGGGGCCAATCTGTAATCAACCAATCACATAGAAATTTTATCAAAATTGGTTTAGTTTTTAAATCACATGTTTTGCCACAATTGAAGTGTTTTTAGTGCAACACAATTTTAAATTATTATATTAGTATTGATTATTAGGTATTTCATTTTATTGTTTACATTGTTTATTTAGTTTTTTGATTATATACTATTGCTGAACATAGGCCTCCCCCATAGACTGTCATTGCCACAGTCATGGAAACAGTCCAGAGCCACCGGCAATCACTGACTCTCTGCAATTTTATTATGCTGTCGTTTAATTATACATAAATAAGTAATGAAAAGGTAATTTTCTTAAGCAGATTGTCACGATGTATGCTATTTCATCGAATTAAAAAAAACACAAAGGATTAACAAGCTGAGGGGGCAATACAAGTATTGGTCGTATAACTTTTTGAGCTTTTGAAATTCTTTTTTATTTTCAAAAAACAACTCCATACAAATAAGCTCAGGACTGTTAGGCACAGGCATAATATTCAACAGTGGACAATGATTAGCTGAAATGATCTCAAAAAAATTAAGGCCATCTATAAAACTCTGTCAGAACCCTAAGAAGTACTAGTACTTCTTTATCTTATGATTTTCAACAAGCTTTTTCCTTACAAATGATGACAATTCCGAAATAATAAAATAATAATAATTTTTTTAGGCACGAAGCAATGATGAAGGGTATCATAAAGAAAGACCAAGAACCATTCAGCGTGAGATTAAAGCAGTTTTGGGAGGTATCGATGGCGTCACGGCTGCTAGGCGAAAAGTTTGCGAAGACGTTATCCCATGAACCAGATGGACTCATTTTCCAACCATCCAAGGAGGTAAATTTTATTAAATATATCAAAGAGACTTAATCGTGGGGGGTTAGGGGGAAAGGGATTGTTAGTAATGGAGACTGAGAATCCCATTGCTAGTAATATACCCAACCAGGTCGACCTCCTCGCGGTTAATTCCTGATGAATTCATCATGATGGGCTAACTGGCCTGTTTTCATTCTCATCTATCATCCTTCACGGGTGCTCGGCAAGCGTATACCGTAAGCGCAGGCGGGGATACCATACCATTATCACCCATCAAAAAAAAAATCGTGTGGTCAACATTTAAAGATTGATTATATTATTATTAGTAGTCAATCTTCCCTCTTAAAACATCACCAAAGCCTATATATGTATTCTTTACTGCACTTGTAAAAAAAGATACAGCGATTAGTTTAACAACGTGTTAGCAAACGTTGGTTTATCTCTGAAAGTGATCTTTTCCAGCCAACCCAATACAGAGAGAAAAACTGATTATCGGGTAATCTAGTGCAGAAAGTGTACAGGAAAAAAATAAGAATTTACAAAATAAATAGAATACTAAGAAAATAAATCTACACAAATTGTAAATAAATAAAACGCGTAATACCTCTGGTATTGCAGGTGTTCATAGGCTACGGTAACCGCTTACCATCAGGTGGACCGTATGCTTGTTTGCCACCTCAGTGGTATAAAAAAATATACGAATAACAATTCAATTGTTAATAAATAATAACTTAATTATTCAATTGTTATTGAAAGTTTCACACTTAAATAAGCTTCAGTATGAATTCTCTTAATTTACGTTTTGTACTTTTTCAGCCATATCAACCTGGCCCGTGTCCGGACGTTTTGAAATGGAAACCGAGCAATATGAATAGCGTTGATTTCAAGTTGCAAATAGTTACTAAGGATGGATTAGGGTGAGTTTATAAAAATGTATTAGCTTTTACCTTGCGATTTCGTCTGTTGACTGAGATATGTTCATTGACCAGGATACAATGTAGCCTTTATCATTCTCCATACCATGTAGTATGTTAAGCAATCTCTAAGGCTAATAATAATAATATTTCTTTATTTATAGATTACAAAGATCCATTCTTGTTAGTAACAATTGATTTGAACTATGTTAGTAGAAAGAAAAAAAATACAAAATTCATTTTATGGCCCCTATAATAATTTTGACCCACAATGAAAGGATCAGGCTATCGTATTTAGTACATGTCAATGCCCTCAGAATACTGTTACTGCTGCCACGCAGTCGGTATAAAAGAGATGCGATCCGTTTGCGTCTGATATTTGCTGTTTGCGACATTAGATCTTTGATACATTTGATGCATTGACGAGTTCAGGATTATTTTCTGAGCTGGACCTAATTTCTGAGGGACCCGACTCCTTAAATAATTAAAAACACTCCCACAAAAAACCGACTTTAATTTTGACAAACCATTTACTTTGCTCTAAAAATTAAACTACTGAACCGATTTTGATAAAATTTCTACAGGACCGATCTGTGAGTATATCTTTTAAGATAAAAAAAAATATTCAAAATCGGTTTATAAGATAACGGGGTTATGAGATAACAATAAAAAAGAATTTTCAAAATTGGTTTATAAATGGGGTTATGAGATAACAAACATAAAAAATACAACTGAATAAAGAACGTCCTTCTTTTTTTAAGTCGGTTGAAAAGGCATGTTTGCACTCTCGTCTCAAGCCATAACTTAAGGCTGTGCGATGACAATAGAAACAATGCGGCACTGCCGATAAACAAAAACATCGCTACAAAACTTAAAATCCCTATCACTGATAGGAATTACCAGCGGACTTTAAAAGACTTTAATAATAGGTAAATATACTAACTTGTTTTTTTTTTGTTTTGTTTTAGGATGTTACCTACAAAACAAGCCCTCTTGTACGTTGGACAATATAGTGAACCGTTCGCTTCAATGCGAGTAACAAAAGACATAAAGCATTTAAATAATAAAATAATAGAGTGCACTTTTGATCAAAACACCAATCAGTGGGTTTTTATGAGAGAAAGAACGGATAAGTCATATCCAAACAGCTTCAACACTGCCAAAGGTATTTCGAATTATAAATAAATAAGTACTTAATAAAAATTATATTGTTGGTAGTCCCCTGTAGCTGCTTGTTTACGCAAATAAGGTCTCGGATTCAATGTTTCATCAAACCAAACAAGGAAACGAGCTTTACTCGATTGGTTAAATTCTAGGTATACTGAGTTGTTCGATGTTAATAACATAATGTAGGTCTTTTTTTCATGGGTGAAAATAGAATAGTAACCCCTTAGCTATTATTGAACGCTGGTGGGGCACCAGTGAGAGATGATAGGATGAAAGAAGGTCAGTTGGCTCATCATAACCAATTCAAGAATCTAACACGATGGTTTCCAAGGAGAATTGCATGGAAGTCGACTTGACCCTATTACTAACAATCCCCCCCCCCTATACATAATGTAGGTTGGGCATCAATAGTGGACACTGAAATTACAAGGGGGGCGCTGCAGGGACCACGCACCAGTAACGGGTCACAATAAATCTGACGTTGATATTCTTGTGGACTGTCTTGGCACCCCTGAAAATCAGAGGGATTACGTGTTTTAGTCGTTAGGGACGCCAGTCAAAAACTTGCCCCAATCATAGACCCCAATAAAGTCGGCTCTGAGAGAGACTCGTGGCCACCAATGAGACGTTATCATGATATTAATATCAACGTGTAAAGGATTTCTTCATATTACATAGAATCTATGTCATAGAGTATATTTAATTATTGATGCAAGTGACTCGGGACCGTTTCTTATGGCACAGTACAAACTCTACTTAGTACTGGACTAGATGATGTTGTATATGACCTGTAATATTTATTTATTAATTTTGTTACAGCTGTATGCGAAAGTATACAAGAACCCGTTACCAGCGAGCGACTTCTGGATTATATTAAAAAACATCGGTTCCACGACGATTCCGATATTATGCCGCCACCTAAACGTTCGCGTTACTAACGTGGTGGAAGCTTAGATAAGAAATGCCAGTAAATATAAACATTGATACTTGAATTTTTTATTCGGGCAGCAGTAGTGATGTGTCAAATAAGATCGAGGTACTCGGATACTAATACTTAATATACATAATTCGGATATACGGTAATCGAATACAGGTTTCGGGTGCTTACGATACCCGTACTTAAAGTCGACTCGTGTGATAGTAAGTTGTCCAGGGCCTCTAGACAAGTGGCAAGCGAATTCGTCGATTGAATCGACATAGCTAGCGAGTCCGTGAGTTGGAATGAGTCATCCGGCGTTGCTATCTCATTCTATCTCATGAACTCGCTAGCGATGTCGATTCCATCGACGAATTCACTTGCCACTTGTCTAGAGGCCCTGATTCTGTTTCTGAATTATATATTTTTCTTAATCACAAAATGAAGAATGGTTAGATTACTGAACATTTATTATCTATATGAAAGTACTCTTCCGAATCCTCTGACTCGAATCAAGATTCGATCGTTTTTAAGGAGCGGTCGAATAAAAAGTAGGGCGGATAGATACATCGCTAAGCAACAAACACGCACGATACTTTTATCGTGATTCAATGATCGTTTTTTTTTATGATACTTAGAATGGCAAAGCTGACGGTACACTTAATGGGAAATGGTAACCATCGCCTTTAAACATAAACAATACCATGGGCATACCATATATAATAATCGTATATTGTAATTTTGCAGTGGCATCGCGTTTAGGCTTTATCATGTTCGGTAGCAGAGTCGAATACAAACATTTTACAGGTATTCCTTCGACACTGTAAAAATCGCACGATAGAGCTGATTCTGAAACGCCATTTTTGCAAACCTATCTCTTAACCTAATATTATAATTTGATAATTTCAGGAAATTATTTTAAGGAACATTTTAAACTAAAATTATATTAATTTTGACTTAAATCTATTATATAATTAATTCATATTTGTCCCTACAATAAAAAATAAGCTGTGAATATTTGTATTTACCAACTAAGACAGCTTGATAATCTCCCAATTCGCTTCCTTAGCAATCACAATATATACAAACAAATAACATTAACTGGACCCTTTCTAAATAATTTATCGCCATTCTGCGAAACTCGACAAGTTTACAAGTAAATATATCCAAGTCCGGTTACTGGCTGGAACATGGAAACAGTCCCTTTGATGTGCTCGAGCATAATTAGAAGTTATATCAAATTGAAATTTTAATTTTAGAGATAGCCTTAGAGAAATGGCGCTCCAGAATCGATCTTAATATTCTCATAATTAACTGGCTGAATCAGTGTGCAACTGATTTGTATATATGAATATGGATTAGGAAATGACTATAAACGTTTAAAATAAGAGTCAATAGATTGTATTACAAAATAGTAGGACCACTAGAAAACACTCGGATAAGGAGTCGTATTTATAAAATTATTAATGAAAATATGTCTTCATTTATGAAATTATAAATTGTAAAGATCTTATTTAAAGTATCATTGTTTGTTTTACTTGATAGCTGTAAATATTAAGCGGCTATTATAATTATACTCTCAATTAAATTAAAATTTAATAATACAATGATGTATGTATTAAATAAAATTCATGAAAATCAAAACATGACAAATGAAAACTGTTTTTATTTATAAATCATATTTTTATAGTAAGTATATAAATATATTCGATACATTTAATATATACAATTAAAATTATTTAACACAAATTGAGTTTTGTTCACAATTCATAACAAAGAAAAAATAGTGATAATGAATATAATAACATACTAATGGCACCAATTTTTTAAAATGAAATCCTATTAATTAATGTGGAAGCTTGTACTCAATCATGCTTAAACAGCTGAATGGAATAGAAAAAAATTTGGTACACTCAGAGGCCATATCCTAATACAAAATAATTTGCATACTGTTTACTGCAGGCAAAACTGTAGTAGATATAATTTTTTTTTTGTTTGCAACTAGTATGCAACTGAGCAATTCTGTCGTGTTAATTTCAAAATATAGTTACAGGAGAAAGCATGTTGAGAAGGGGAAATATTTAAATCACTTAAATATAGATAATTTTAATAAATAAGCCCACAACATGTCCTATGACCAAGTACTCTTGGGCTTCGTCAATATCAAATACGATCTAAATACACCTTTACAGGCTACACAAAAGCTGCTACCAATGTAGCAGCTTTTGTGTAGCCTGTAAAGGTGTATTTAGATCTAGCTATTGAATTTCCCTTCTACTGTTTTAGGTTATGTTTATAGATTCATTAATACCCTAAACGTCAAGCTAGTAAACTGATTCTACTATATTCTTAGCTTTGATTGATAAAAAAAATATTTGCAGCTATACAATATTCGTATCACTGAATATTTCACAGTTAAATAAAGCTGATAATCAATCAAAAAATTTTATTGACTTAAGTCATAACAAAATACAAATAACAAGGATAACAATAAATAACAAGAATAACAAAATTATAAATACCATTACCTAAATATTTTCTTTCTTACGAGGTCTTCCTAAGTTCGTTGTTGGTAATATGAGCGTTCTCAATTAATGGCAACCAGAGTTCGATGGAGCTAATTTGCCGCTCCATGAATTGAATAAAATTTGGTACATGGGTAGGTTACGTCTTAACAAAAGCTATATTTATAAGGTTTTTTTTTTAAATACAAAATAGAAATAAGTACCCATAACTTGCAACGCGAATTCGAGTTGGATAAGCGAGGTGCGTCCTTACATATTTCTGGTTATATACCAACTGGCCCTGGTCGCAGCAATTGAAATAAAAAATAATAATTCTTTAAATATCGATAATAAACAATTTTAGTATTTTTTATACCACAAAAATGGCAAACAAGCATAAAGCCCGTCTGATGGTAAACGGTCACTGTAGCCTATGGACGCCTGCAACACTAGGGGTGTCACATGCGACCCTGAAATATTTATAAATTACTATTGACGTTATATTGCCACCTAGTCTCTCCATCTACAGTAATACATTTTATTTTATTTTCCTTTGTGAGTTTTGTCAAATGATGGTTGACATTATAGGCAGCTGCTGGCCACAAATGTTCCGGTGTCTCTGTATATATCAGTTTAACCAAGTCCATTTCATTTAATTGCTTATTTAAATTATTCTTTAGAGCTCCCAATATCTGTTCTTCTCTTTGATTTCTATGGGCTATATAGTATTCTATTTTCTGTATTGGTTCCTGTAAATAGTATTAAATAAATTATTGTATTTGAAATTATAAATTAAACTAGCAGGATTGACTAGAGCAAAACAATAGCAACATTAATAGCTCATGCAAAGTTCCGCAAAGGTGGTGCCATCTTTAACATAAACAACATCAACGGAACATTTAAAATGTAAACTAGGTATATTAATTTTTCTATCTATCAGTGTAGACTAAACCAGAGAGAACTTTATTTGTCTCATAAAAAAAATGGCAGCAGGTTTTAGCTACGTAGGTCCCGACATAGAATAGGCCACCACTACCTTTCACGTGGCTGTCGTAAGAGGCTAATGGTCTAAAGGACTATAGGTATAGGTGTATAGGTACTAAGGGAGCTTATGGTGGAGGTATGGGTAACAGCGTCCCTCTTAGAACATCACTAAAAGCCAAACTGCAGTTGCCAACCCGCATGCTAAGCATGGCAACTAATGGCAAAACCCTCCTTATGGGGGAGGCTATGTTCAACAGTTAACGACTGATAGAATACTGACGGCGCTATCGGGATAAATTGGTAGTAAGATATCCTATTATAACTAAATTAACATGAAATGTAACTCCTATTAATCACAAAAAACTATTATAAAAGTTGTTTCAGAATTGATTAAGATATACATAAAATCCCTGATGAGGTAGTCAGAGATATGAAGTAACTGTTTCAATTATTTGTGAACACTCGATATTTCACAAAGAATATTTGACACAAACTTGGCAGGCGATGACCTACCACTTCTCATCATTACTAATATTATAAATGTAAAAGTGAGTTTGTTTGTTACCTTATAGTGCTTTAACAGCTTAACCAATCACTATGAAATTTGGTATACACATACTACATGGGATGGGATTTTTATCCTGGTCAGTAAATGTGGGATACATTTACTGAATCATGCTGATAAATAGTAATAATAATGTTTCTTAAAATCAGTTAATTACCTCTACAACATTTCCGTGTCCTGGATATATCACCCTTGGCTTAAGTTCTAATATCTTATTCAAACTTTTCATATAAGTGTATAAGTCTTCAAATACTGCAGTGCCTTCGCCCAGTATGCAGTCTCCACTGAACAATATGTTCTCTTCCAATAACGTCAATATAACATGGTCAGTTGTATGGCCAGGAGTGTGGTGTACTTTCACTGTAGCACCTTCCACTTTGATCTCTTGTCCATCTGATAGCCAGTTGATGGGAATCTCTGTAGGCAGCTCACTGTCTGGACTATCATCAGAGCTGCGTTTGTGTTTCCATATTAGTGGTTTTGCTACAATTATTAAAAGTAAAATGAAAATATTTTTATTTAAATATAATCTTCATTTTAAATATTTTTATATAGCATTTTTATAATTCTAATTATTGCATATTATTGCTTGTATTTTTTCCATGTGGTGTCAGCATAGAATAAGCCACCCCTTCCTTTCTGGTGGGTGTCATAAAAGGTGACTAAGGAAGGGTGAAGGATGGGCAGCAGCATCCCTCTTAAAACATCTCCAAAGCACTGCAGTTGCCAAGCCGCCTGCCAAGTGTGGCAACTACTAGCAAAACCCCCTAATGGGGAGGCTTATGTTCACCATTGGTCAGTAAAAGGCTAATATGATGGATGATGCTTGTCTGTTTACATTTTCAGATCATAATACAGCTATACAACACAACTGCTTCACAGCAGAAATACAAATGGGACAGTAGTGCCCAAACAGACAATTTTTGTACAAAGCCCCCTCTGGTATATACTAATCTTTAAACCTCTGAAAAGCCGTTTTGACAAACCTTAAAAGCATACATCTTCTATTAGGCTAGGTGTACTAAGCCTCGGCTAAAATATAAATAAAAAAAACTATTATGACTAAATTTAGTATACTATTTATTATTATATCAGCCATTAATTGTCCACTGTTAAACAGGCCTTCCCTATAAGGGAAGTTTTGTCAATAGTTGCCACACTTGATAGTACCTGTGCTAAGTATGAAAAAAATACATATAAGTGATGTGAAAATACTTAAAAATGTGAACCTGCAATGCTGCCATATATGTTTTCCACTCCTCCAATGTGATCGTGATGCCAGTGAGTGACCACAATGTGTTCTATGTTCACCTTTTCTGACTGCACCACTTCAGATAAGTGTTTCTGGTATTCCTGCACATCTTTGTCACCAGTGTCTAGAAGAATGCGACTGGAATAAAAAATTATGTTAAGAACATGGAGTCTAGATTTTCAATGAAAAAATGATTATTAAAGTTTCAAATGTAGCAACCTCATATTGGCAAGTAGTGTTGGGCACTTTCTCACAAGATGAAAAATACCATAGTGCAAACAATATATGTAAGTGGTGCAGAATCATACTATATGGGAATGTATGAAGACATATGTTCAGCAGTAGACAATGGGTGGGTTGTATTTTTTTTTCGATTTAATGGGTGTAAATGAAATAATAACCCCACCTGCATTATCAATACACACTGAGAATGAAACGGCTGATAATGGAATGGTAATTCTGCCTGCACTAATGGCATGTGCGGAAGTTAGCACATCATGACAAATTTCACAATTATCACCCATGGTTTCCAGGAGGAACCGCGTGGAGGTCGACTTGATAGGAGGACCTGCTTGCAATAGTACGCAATCTAGTTACTAACAATCTCTTTTCCCCTTGGATGGATTATAATGATGATGAAGGTTTCGAAACATACTTTCTTCCTGTTCCAATTAGATATGTGTTAGTGCCTTGCAGTGTCATGGGTCCAGGGTTGCATCCTAGAATTCTTATAACTTGACTTGAGAGTTTCGTTACGGCCGGTATTACTGCTGCCATTTTACTAAAAACGTAAGAAAGTTGTTAGTTAGGTTTAAAGTCCACATTTAAAATCACACAACGCGATAAGATAATAAAAGATTCATTTACGGCACAATATAATTACTCTCGAAGTTTGCACTTCGTTCCTTCACGAAGATTATAGCAACTACAATTATAAACAGCAGAAATAAAAACATAATATAATAATATCATTCAAAATATTCTAATTAGGTTTAAATAAACTTTACTAAGTGTAAAATAAACGTGTTTACTTACGTGTTCTTTGCTAGGTAGATTTTGACTTTATTTATTTACCTATTATATTTTCTTCCAAGTAGCAGTTAAATGACATTTAATGACATAACATCGACAGCGCATGGACATTGCATTTGTCAACATGATAATTAAGAATAGAGTTGTTGTAATAAAATTTGTAATATAAAAAATGTACCTATTAAGTTAATGATTTACTAGTATCTTGCAGGTGCAAGTATCTCTAGTATGCAGGTCTCTAGTATCCATGCATATTAGAGACCACCTCTAAATCATTGCTGGGATTCACAAAAAGTCACAAATCGCAGCATACAATGCATTTAGTGTATTTAAAATAACTTTCTAGGGGTGGAGCTGTAGCCTTAAAAGTCATAATTATTACGTGCTGCCAGTCAAAAATTATATAAACAGAACCAAAATGTTTGTGTTGAATGTTCCTGTTATTACTTTGAACCATAGGTGGCAGTGGCAGTCATATAAATGAAATATTAGAATGGAAAACATTAATGTCTATTTATATGCAAAAACAATTTTACAATTTGAACACAAATTAAACATCAATTTTGGGTATTGTATTGTAATTATATTTCATGAAATACTATATATTTCAAATAAAAATGTATTTTTTTATATATTTTGTGTTCTGTGTTTATTAAGGAAAGTAAATACCACAACATACAATACTTCTAGTTTTTTTATATGATTATTCAATTTGTAGTTACGCAGGAAATACATACAAAATGGTGAAATTAATCTCTTAACATGGTATTATTTTGGTGTCAAACGAGTGTCAAAATTCGACTGTGTTTGACATAATCAGAAAAATGGCTGGTGCGCTGGCTCGAGTAATTCAAGGAACAAAATCACATTTAGGTCAGTAAATTACTCCTTTATATCCTAATATTAGTTTTATTTAATCAAATACTGATCACTAAAGTCTTTATATAGCAATACTTGGATTGTGGGATGTTATTTGTTGTTTGATGCGCAGTGGTTATCTTACATAATATTGACTATTGTTTCAGGGCTTGTTGGTCCCTTGGTGAACATCAGTAATGTGCCGGTACGATGCCAGCAAACGCAGGCACCACCCACCAAGAGCCAGTATGGACCCTTGGCAGATAGTGATAGAATCTTCACTAACCTCTATGGTCGACATGATTGGCGATTAAAGGGGGCACTTAGCCGCGGAGATTGGTATTTGACGAAAGATATTTTGTTGAAAGGCACCGATTGGATTGTCAGTATGTATCTCTATCAATTAGAGCATTTGTTTAATTTATAATTGGATAATTGCCATAAAAATATATGTTATTTATTGCTTATAGATGCTGCAGTCATATTATTACTCTGTATACTATGTTATTAATATTGCAATCCTGTTTCATCTGTAATTTGTAAATTTCAATACTAAATGAAAATAATAAATTTATAAATGTATTTGTTTTAAAAACTTATTTATAAAAAAAAATGTTATTTTAATATCTAAAAGTTATGATTACAACTTACAGATGAACTTAAAACATCTGGTCTACGTGGGCGTGGTGGTGCCGGTTTCCCCACTGGCATGAAGTGGTCCTTCATGAACAAGCCCTCCGATGGTCGTCCGAAGTACCTTGTGGTGAATGCTGATGAGGGTGAACCAGGAACATGTAAGGACCGTGAGATCATGCGCCATGATCCCCACAAGTTAGTTGAAGGTTGTCTGATAGCTGGACGGGCTATGGGAGCTTGTGCAGCTTATATTTATATCAGAGGGGAGTTTTACAATGAAGCCAGTAATCTACAAGTTGCAATTGCAGAGGTTTGTATTACTTATTATTTTATTTAACTGTTATTAAATAAATAGTGATAGACTAACATACAAATTGTGAGACAATTGGTAAGTTACCATAAAACACACATTATTTTATACTAGCTGTTACAGCTAACTTTCATATGAGGCATTGCATTTTCCTTTAATTTTAAATTTTCAATAGTTTTCAGATGCTTATATTATAAAATAAAATTATATACCAAATTGCAGCATTTTAGACTTAGTTTTGGCTATGTATTGATAGTTAGATAAACTATTTCATAAGCATAGATATATTTTTTCAGTTTCTAAACATATAAAGTTAACAATCAAATATTAATACATCTCTGACACTAGGTTAGAACTTTCCAACCAGGAAAATGTACACTTTAGGGCAGAGGTGGCCAACAGGTTATTCTACAGGCTACTATTAGTCCAGTCGATCATGGCAAGGCAAAAAATATAATATTTTGTTAATCTAGTGGAAGATGCTCAGATGCAATACTCACACTAATATAAATAAGTAGTGACTAAGAATAATTTTCAGTTTTGTTTTCCCTCTTAATAAAATAAAAAAATATTACAGTACTACATAATTGTGTACTGAACTATGTTGTTTCATTTGAGATTTCAAGATGTATATAATTGGTACATCACACATTGTCAGTAAACAGTATATCTAGGGTCCAGTAAAGTAGGCTACCCATGCTCTGGGGGGCATAGAGAGATGTCCACAGAGGTATATTAAATTTGCAATTTCAGAAGAAAAATTAACACATATAATATAAAACAGAACTAAGAATCGACCAATTGGTGTAACTTTTTGTTTGTTGGAAGTTTTTTTTTTATAACTTTGAATTAGAGTAAATAAATATTAATGTCTGCTATTTGTAATGACAAAATTTGAGTAGAGCATGAAAATTACGTTTAAAATGGGGAAATCTCAACAAAAAGAAAGGTTGAGAAAACCTGCATTAGATGAGATATTACTTTGTTCATCTTGTCATTCTTTAAATGTTAATGTAGTATTATATCCTTCCTCTGATATTTCTCTTTTCTTTGCATTCCAATCAAAAATACTATATACATTTTTATAAATATATTTTCAGGCATACCAAGCAGGACTGATTGGCAAGAATGCATGCGGTTCAGGCTATGATTTTGATGTCTTCGTACACCGTGGTGCTGGAGCCTACATTTGTGGCGAGGAGACTGCTCTTATTGAGTCCATTGAAGGTAAACAGGGCAAGCCACGTCTGAAGCCTCCATTCCCAGCAGATGTTGGCCTCTTTGGATGTCCTACCACAGTCAATAATGTGGAAACGATTGCTGTTGCACCAGTAAGTGTATATTGAGTATTTTGTTATGATATTACCTAGTGTGTTTTAATTCAAATATGTAAATGTTTTTTATTGCTGTTAATAAAAAAAACTGACTAGCCTATACAATGAAGGTGCTTTTTTACATAGACATTATAAAATATACTGTATGTAAATCATATAGTACTTCTATAGTGTGTTAAACTGGACTACTAAAGTTGCGGCTGTTGGTAATAAATAGGCTTGGAATATTTCATGAGTCACAAGTAAAATTTCATATGCAAGGCCATACTGAAATTTCATATTGCACTTCAGCTATGTTGCTGAACAAAGAGTGCTACAAACCGCTCTAAATGAAATCGCAATATTAGCTGTCTTCCGATTGTTAGTAATCTAAATATTAAAAGAGATTACTAACAAAACAATAAAATCACCGTGTGGTCCGGGCATAGAATGGCCACCACTTCCTTTCCTGTAGATATCTAAAAGCCTAACTGCGGTTGCCAACATGCCTGCCAAGCGTGTTGCCAACATGCCTGCCAAGCGGGCAAAACTCAAATCAAATCATATTTATTCGCTTGCTACATGGTACAATAAGACGTTACATACATATACAGGCACATAACATGCAACACCCTGCAGAGGTATGCAATTCTTCTTATGGGGACGGCTTATGTTTAGTAGTGGACAGTTAACAGCTAAAATAATAATAATATATGATAAATAGTTATGTATTCGTATTTAGGGCATCTACAAAACATTTCTTTTTTAATTTATTAGTATAATGTAATAATTCAAATTCAAATAACCTTTATTTAAATAGACTTGTTTAAAAGTACTTTTAAATTGTCATATCTTTTTTAATCTACTGCAGAGTTTGTAAAGTTGTTATCTGTTAAGAAGAGCCCGCAAGAAACTCAACAGTTACTCTTTTAAATTTCTGTTAACATTATGTGTATTTATTTAAATGTACTATGTCTAAAATTATATGGTCATTAAAAGCCATGCATGCTTGTCATTCAATAGAGGAATACACGCAATGTTTTTATATTATATTTCCTTCCTCAACCCTTTATCTTTACCTGTATCTATTTAATAAAATTCTACGTATCTCGATTTTTTTACATATCATTAAACACTGTTTTTCAGACTATATGCCGCCGTGGTGGCAAATGGTTCGCCTCGTTCGGCCGGCCCCGTAACTCTGGCACGAAGTTGTTTAATATCTCTGGACACGTGAACACACCCTGCACAGTCGAGGAGGAGATGAGTATACCACTCAAGGAGTTGATTGAGAGACACGCTGGCGGCGTCACCGGCGGTTGGGATAACTTGCTCGCCATCATACCTGGAGGATCTTCTACACCATTGATTCCTAAAGAGTATGTATTTTTTTATACTACTGGTAAACTATTCGATAGATTCATTCTGGTTAAACATCCTGGCGAATTTATCACAATGTACTGATCATTATATCATCATCATCATCATACACGCAGCCTAAATGGGAGGCTAAGCATGGGAAAGAGAGTAATTTAAATGTTACATTACTTGCTGAACATAGGCCCTCACCCTATTGTGGGGTTTTACCAGTAGTTGCCATGCTTGGCAGGCGGGTTGGCAATGTACTGATACTCATTGGTATTATTTCACTCTTTAATTCAATTTATTTGATAACAATATTACATTGTGTTGAATATGATAATTTTTTCAGATTATACAAGTACAAAATAGCAAACTTATAACAATTCAACAAATCAACAATGTTACATACAAATAACTCAATAATATTTGAATTAATATAAATAACAATTGCAAGGAAAAAAATCAGTACCAACTCCTTCCATTACACTGCATTCAAAGTCGGGCAGCTCGAATTGTTGACGATCGGCGCCCTACTGTCCGATTCGACCCACTGAAACTGCGTAGAGATGTTGCATCTCTGTGCATCTTCTACCGAATTTATCATGAAGTGCTCTGATGAATTGTTCGGATTGATATCTGCTGCTGATTTTCACCATCGTACAACCCACAATAAACTAAAATTTCAACCCAACTATCTGGACGAGTGGCGGTCTTCCACCGTTTGTTTTTCAAGGCACTTTCTCCTACGCACAACCACTCTTTGGAATCAACTTCCAGCAGCAGTATTTCCGAACCGATACGACATCATAACCTTCAAGAAAAGAGCATATTCCTTTTTAAAAGGCTGGTAGCACATCTGCAATGCCGTTGGTGTTGTGGGTGACCATGGGTGGCGGTAGTCACTTACCATCAAGTGAGCCACATGCTCGTTTGCCCCCTGTGTTGTAAAAAAAAATTGATTATTAATTTATTATTAAAATTCGTTTATTAGGTATTCCATTTGTATATACCGATAATGCAGGTAGTATTATCATTCTATTTTCACTCATTGGTATATAAAAGGTAGCTTGTGTGTTATACAATTAAAAATTCTTGATGTTTTGTACTAAGTCGCCTATGCGTTGAAAGTTTTAATCTTATATAAAACTTCCACAGTGTATGCACTACAGCTATAATGGACTTCGACGGTCTCGTAGCGGCGCAAACGTCCCTCGGCACGGCGGCCATCATTGTGATGGACAAGTCAACCGACATAGTGAAGGCGATCGCTCGTCTCATCATGTTCTACAAGCACGAGTCCTGTGGACAGTGCACGCCCTGCAGAGAGGGTGTTTCGTGGATGAATAAGATAATATACAGGTACAGTTTGCAGAAAATAGATTTAATATATCCATAGACTAAATTAAAAGAAATCTTTTCGTTAGTAATACCATTAAATATTTGCGACCGTTTGCCATGAAGGAAAAGAAAGAAAGATACCTTGTGCTCTGTATTAATAAATACTAACACTAGTTTTAAAAATGAATTTTAATGTTTAAAAATATACTGTATTATATCCAATATTTAATTTAAAACTTAGATTTTTTTTATCAACATATTTCAATCACATGGACGAAGTCACGGGTAATAACTAGTTTATAATATTAGTTACTTTACATGCAGGTAGACTATACATGTATGTTTATTTTGCAGGTTCGTCGAAGGCAATGCGTCACCTAAAGAAATCGACATGCTGTGGGAGATTTCCAAACAAATTGAAGGTTAGTGTGCGCCCGCGGCCGGCGTTATGAAACACAATATATGGTTTTTGTATTGTTCTCTCACCTTCGTTTGCACTGGTGACCTTATGTCTACCGACCTCTGTTGGATGCATTTGTGACCTTTGTATTTAATACAATTCATTTTAAAGTCTATTTATAGTAAATTATAATCACCCAAGTGTACTGAAGCCTCAACAAAAATTAGAATAAAAAAAAATTATACTAATTTAAATAGAGAAAGGGAATATAAATTCAATAAATTCAGTGTTAAAGAACATATTCAAATAAGTTAGTTGACATTTCAAAGATAGATCTATTTTCTTAATATAAATTACTTACGTTGTAAGTTTACATTAAAAACAAAATTGTTCCTCGCATACGCATTGTCGAAAGCGGCACATTGTTATTATTCTTGTGTAAGTGATTTTGTTTCATTTATACGTAAAATCTGTTTTTTACACATTTTACGTGTTTCCTTTGTGTATGTTCGAATAGGAATTGTAAAATATTATTACTTGTAAAATTAAAAATGGCGCGTAGATTTATTAAAAAAATAATAATGACGCGTTATCAACAATTGGTTGTTACATTTTAATCACTCTAAGAAGTATAGAATTGAACCTTTTATAAACATTTTTTTTTTATACAACTTAGATGTTAGAATGGCAAACAAGCTGACGGCCCCCCTGATGGAAAGTGGTAATCGTTGCTTATAGACATGAGCAGTACCATGAATATAACAAAGTACACCTATCCCCCGATTTACACGGTACTTGTTTTACACGTTTTCGCTTTTACACGGTTTTCCAAATAAGTTTTTTTTTTGTTTTTATTGCACTCTACTAAATGCTACTGTGTTTGAACACGTGCGCTGTGTACACATCTCACGGGAAATCCCGAGCTTTTGTGCTGACTTGCTGCACATGCACACTGTGTCTGTATTTCTTCGCATAAAATTAAAGTTTTATCTACGGAAAATTGTATTTGAGTGAAAGTTTCACAGTGTCAGAAAGATTAAATTTTTCATATTCGTAAATTACAAGTGGGTGCATAATTAAGATTTTTATAAATTAACATAAATTAAAAAAAAAGTTATAGGCTTATAATGTCGAAAGAAGTTAAAAGAAAAGTTATTTCTTTAGAAACTAAAATCGAAATTTTGGATCGCTTACGAAAGGGAGATAGAGTAGTAGATGTTGCAAAATCATATAACATGAACGAAGCTACAATAAGAACTATTACAATAATAATATTGAAAAAAATCACAACTCTTAAATAGCAAAATTATGCATTTTCTGCAAGCTTTTCGATTTACACGGTTTTGACTTGAAAATTTTTAATTTTCGATTTAATCGTCGCCTATAGAACGTATCTACCGTGTAAATGGGGATAGGTGTATACTGTATAATAAACTTTAAATTGACTTTTTTTCCGCTATATTCTCAATTTAAGTGAAAGGAAATTAATAAAATACTGTTACAGTGAACATAAATTCCTAGATCTTACTTTTTTATTTTTTTATTAATATAATAATAGAATTTTAAAGTTATGGTCACCTTCCTCAGGCCACACAATCTGCGCGCTTGGCGACGGCGCAGCGTGGCCGGTACAGGGTCTAATCCGTCACTTCCGACCGGAGCTGGAGCGTCGTATGCAGGAGTATGCCGCTGCCAATGGCCCAAGCAAAGCTGAGAGGCTCTACTAGCCTAGCACGATCTTCAGCTACACTAGAACATGCCTTGTTGACATGAGATTGGGCTGTAATATTGAATTTTAGAGTAATTTTGACGTAGGTATATAATCGTGATTCGGCAGTGAAAATCGGACTTCATTATCCAGTATGCAGAGTACTAGTAAATGTTACAAAGTTTCATCGTTACAAGATACTGGCTTAGTATTGTATTATAAAAACTTTATTGTACATACTTTATATGGAACACATTAGTGAAATGTAATAAACAATGGCGATCTTATCCCATAGAGGTTTCTCTTACAGTCAACCTTTGATAAGCTGTAAGTAAAACGATAGAATGTTCGAGGGTTAAAAATTGTATATCTAAAGATAAAATTTATAATATAGTACTTTCCTAGCTAGTACAATTTCGACATTATTGGCATTTCAATGGCACTATCAGAACATCAGCCCATTTTAGACTAGATATATCCTTTGCAGCTAATACCAGCAAAATAATGAAAAAATTAGATTTCTTTTTTAAAGAGTCATATATTTAAACCCCAATGGGATTATCAAACGATTAAAAATTGACAAGTATAAATCGTTTTACCTAGTGTAAAACGAGCTAGTGGTTACAGAAATTTATTCTATTACAACAAAATTCTAAATAAGCACACTAGCTTAGTTAGGACTGTGCAAATTGAATAATGTAATGTCTGCTGTATTAAACTAAAAGGGATGTAACTCAACCTAAAGGTTTTGAAACATGTATAAATTATTTTGAAAACGAACCCGTTCTTATCGTAATTCATTGTATTATTTATTATTAATCTGAAGCGGTAAGCCTAAATCACTATCAACAATATTTAGTCTATGGCCCAAATAGTGACTCATATGAGTTAAATAAAAACAATAACATGATTTTTTTAATTTAATTGTACAAAATATGTTAATAAAAATACTATAAAAAAAAAAATGTTTGTTTTTATTAACAATCCGAGTTGCGATATTGTTTTTCATGTATACAGACAGTCAGGTAAGTTCCATATTTACCTAATATAATAGGATCTTCTATTCAAGTGAACTTCTACTTCTAAGTGCGTATTCACCATTATGAATGATGAGGCACAATGGGAATGCCCTCACCCTAATAGACTTGTGAGGGAGGTAAGGGATTGTTAGCAATGAAACTGTTATTAGGTTGACCTCCACGTGTTTCCCACTGGAAACCATCGTGAACTATTCTTATTGAATTCGTCACGATGGGCTGACTTGTTTCATCCTCACCTATCATCCTTCACTGGTGCCCCGTCGATCACTGTAATGTTACAGACGTCCATTACAGTGATCTTTATCATATAACGGGCTGTATGCTTGTTTATCATCTTCGTGGTATAAAAAAAGTGTTTCCTTCAATTGAGATTTTTATCTAACGTGATATCTAAACAAGTAATGGAATCCATTACTTCTATATTTATTTCTTATATGTTATATACAGGTCAACTGTAATATTACTTTATTTAATGTATCCATAATATCATTTTTAAAAGTGCCTAAATCTTTACATTTGCGTAGTAATGTTTAGTCATCTATGAATAAAATACATTATTGGTCTCCTATGTCTGGAGAATCATTTATTTGTAGAAGAAATATAAATGGGCCCAGTATACTTCCTTGAGGTACACCGGTTTGATTAGTTCTAAATTAAAAACGTATTTCTTTGTACTCTTTCTTTATTGATTGTATTAGTTAATTCTTTGAATAGTTTATTCACGTGGCATTCTTTTAATTCCGAAATTTTCCTTTAGAAGTTGTTAATCGAGTTTTTCAAGTTAGTGCAGTATTTTCAACAGTTACAAAACATGATGTTAATTTAAAGAAGAATTAAAATATATTCAAACTTGACTGTAATCAATTATTAATTTCATTATATACTTAGTTAATAATTTGTTGCTGAATTAAGAAAAAAACCTAACACGACCACCGAAATAGCAATACGTCGCAATGGATAATGGTTATTGCGTATAATCCCTGACTTCCGCAATATTATAGGAAAGTTTAGACTAATACCTATGCTATCTTAATATTAGACAACTTTATCTGATATTTGCGCGTATTGTATCTACTTACCTACACGATAGAATATATTACGTGCTAAATACATACCTAGAAATAAATAAATTTTCCTTATTTCGCAATATATTGTAACCAAGTAACGATGATTTGTTACAAAGTAGATGCAAATTAGTGATGACGTTTCGATAATACGAGTACGTCTCTCATCAATATCTATTATATCTATACTAACATTATAAAGAGGAAAGATTGGTATTTTTATATGTTTGTAATGAATAAACTCAAAAACTATTGGACGGATTTCAAAAATTTGTTCACCATTAGAACGCTACATTATCCCTGAGTAACATAGGCTACAGATTATTTTCGAGAATTTCATCTACACATGTGAAGCCGGGTCGGATCGCTAGTGCTGTTATAATTATGACGTAGATATTAGAATTCGGTACAGGAAAAATAAAATAAAATCTATGTCATTCATTATCTAAATTTGTTTGTATCAAACCTCGTCAGTCTTTATCTACTTTCAATAGCTTGCATTGTTCTTTGTTTTGCCAGTTCGTATTCGGCGGCAGTTAGTTACTACCCTGTGTCATTTTCCTATCTGATTTGTGATCTCAATTCAAGTTTTATCTAATTAAAGGTCTCCATCCAAGGATGTGGTTCCTGCATAGAATGGGCTACTTCTTACTTTCCCGTGGATGTCGTAAGAGGTGAATAAGAGAATTTAATGGTCGAGTGAGGAACAGCAGCGTCTCTCTTAAAACAATTCCAAGGCCTGACTGCGGTTGCCAACCTGCCTGCCAAGCGTGGCAACTACTGACAAAACTCCCTTTATAGGGGAGGCCTATGTTCAGCAGTGGAAAGTTAACGGCTGATATGAATTAATTAATGAATACAGAAGCATACGGCATTGCGCGTTGCCGACCTAAAAGGAACTTTGTCACGCCTTTTGTAAAGAATTATACGCCGTAGTTTTGGGATCACATCGGCATATGAGCTCAATCAGCTTTTAAATGTCAAATGTGTCGAATTGTGAATTAATTAATCAAATAGATATCTAGTAGGTATTATTTTAAGGAAAATCTTTAATTATTAATATTAAACTGTGACAATTTTGTATAATTTGTAATACATTATATTATACCTAAAAATATATGTATAAATAAAGGTAACAAAAGGTAAATAAAGCTGGCCAATGTGCCAGTAAAAATAATCTGTCAAAATCGATAAGGCATGTAAGTACTGTGTAGGTATTGTATAATGAACTAGCTAAATATTGCATCATCGTCATTCATAATACTTATTATCTATAAACTTTAAATTGTAAGTTATCTTAGATAAAGTAATTTGTACTTTATCTTGAGAACTTACAGTGTCTAATCCTTCACTTAATGAACAAAGAATGTTTTTATTATTTTCATTTTTTGTAGTTGTGTATTGTTTCGTGGTATAGCAAATATTAATTATATTAAATTGGTTATTTACAAATTGCAATTTAGTGTTGCAATGACACGAGGCTAGAAGTTGCTACAAGGCTATCGTATGACAAGAATTTCTAGCAAAAAATGCGTAGTGCAACAAAATAACACTTTGAAAGGATGCAAACAAGGCTTTCATAGCGCAAATTTTGCACAGCTATTATTGACAATAGTTTTCATTTATATCTTCAAGTTTTCTTGGTCTTATATGACCTTATGTATTATCTTTTTAATTGCTAATCAAGCACACACCCTGCTAGATGATAAGTGGCCAGAGAGTTTATTAACGAGAAGATACCACGCAACATATAAACAAAAAATAGTTTAATCTCCCATTTTTTAAAGTCTGTTAAAACTCGAAATTAATTTATATGTTTATCTATCTACTTACTTTGTTGTTTGACGTAAATGTAAATAGAAGTATTTTTTATATTGTTATATAACACAATTTAAATTACATGGGGAATTCTGAAGTTTTGAGTAATGTATTTTTACTCCATTGTATGTAAGTATGTGCCGTATCGTCATATTATTGAATCATTACCTCGGTACCTACTATGGATCACTCAGCTTATTATAGCTGCAATGCGTATTTTTTTTATGCAACTTAGAATGACAAATAAGCTGACAGCCCATCTGATGAAAAGTAACCGTCACCTATAGATATCAACAGTAATATGGGGATAATAGAGTATACTATGTCGCCAATGATACCCCTTCATTCGTTGCCATTTTGGAGTTATGTCTTTTAAACCGAAACCCGGCCATGCAAACACAACTGCTTCACGGCAATAACACGAATGGTACACTCAAGCAGACGACTTATACAAAATCTCCCTCTGGGGGAGGGGGGGGGGGGAAGAGATTGTTAGTAATGGAGACCGAGAATCCCATTGCTAGCAATATAACCAACAAGGTCGACCTCCTCGCGGTTTTCCCTGGAAACTATCATGGTTAATTCCTGATGAATTCATCATGTTGGGCTAACTGGCCTGTTTTCATTCTCATCTATCACCCTTCACTGGTGCTCCGCTAGCGTATCTCGTTAGCGCACGCGGGGTTACCATTTTCACCTATCAAAAAAAAATATATCAACCGTTAACTGTCCACTGCTAATCATAGACTTTTCTCATAAGGCGAGTTTTGCCAGTGGTCGCCACGCTTGTTAGGCGGGTTGGCAACTACAGTTGGACTTTAAGAGATGTTTTAAGTCGGGCGCTGCTACTCATCCCTATACCATTAACTAAGTTCTCTTAGTCGCCTCTCACGACATCCACGGGAAAAGAAGGGGTGGCCCATTCTATGCTGGGATCACACGGTTAGTTTTTTTTTTAATAAATGATAATGGAATAGTAACCCCGCCTGCGCTAACGGTATACGCTGGCGTGGCACCAGTGAGGGATGATAGGAGAGGATGAAAAGGCAGTCAGTTAGCCCATCGTGATGAATACGCTTGGAATTCAGCAAGATGGTTTCCAGAGGGGACAACGGTGAGGTCGACCTGTTAGGGTATATTGTTAGCAATGGAACTGTTAATCTGCATTACTAACCCCCCCCCCCCCCCCCCCAATTCACACGGTTGGTGAGTATGGTTATATTATTTATGTCTCTGGTAAATGAAAAATATATGAGTTTTGTAAAAATCAAATGGTATGACATTACAGAAGTGAAACAAGATACCTGTTCTCTGTAAATGTATTTAAAAAAAAAAAATTACCCATTCACATCTTCCGAATGCTATATATTTGAGGTTTCATACTATTTATTCCTTTTTATTTTCTTCACGGAAATTACTCAATTGATATTTATATCTCTACTTATTTATTTAAAAAAAGACTCATCTAGTCATTGACTCCTACTTCTAAAGACCTAAATGTTTATGTAGCTATGTTTTTCATTGCCAACTGGATACTAGGAAACTGGTTTGCGAATAGATCTTATCTATTAGCTAGAAATAGAAAGCTCCGTTATTTTTATTATTTCTTAAAATGGCCAAGTTTGTTAGAGCCAGGATTCTACACTGTGTGTCATGTCTTGAATGCACATTCCTTAAAGACAAAAAGACAACTAAGTGTATAGTGGGGGAAAGGGATTGTTAGCAATGCAGTTTAACAACCCCATTGCCAGCAATATACCCTTTCAGGTCGACTTCCACGTGGCTCCCTCTGGAAATCATCGTGAATAATTCTAGTTGAATTGGTCACGATGGGCTAACTGACCTGGTACATCATTAAAAAAAGTCAGGAGTATAAATAAAATTAATTTGCACAAACTAACTAATTTTACTGATATAATAAAATTGTAAATAGACGATATCTGTAAATGGGAGATATTACAAAAAGATGACATTAATCTTAACAAGACCAATAGATGTTAAAACAATTATTTTAGAAAATTTGTCTGTCTGTATGTTAATTTCGAGATCACGCAAAATTTACTGCACCAAATTAGATGAAGGTTTCATAGTTATGTTTCTGAAGGTGTAATTTAAAATATACATCATGTTTCATGTTGATGCGTCATCAAGTAGTGGTAAGTTTAATTGGTTTTCCTACATCTAAACGTAGATACGTACTTTGTACGAATTTTTTATGGAATTCTAAATGATAAACAAGCAGACAAACCATTTGATGTAAACTGTATTAGTTTTTTTTTATACAACTTAGAATGGCAAACAAGCTGACGGCCCACCTGATGAAAAGTGGTAACCGTCGCCTATAGACATGAGCAGTACCATGGACATAACAGAGTATACTGTTTTGCCCATGATACCTCCCATGCGTTGCCATTCCTGAGGACTCAGGTGTTATTCTTTTGTACCCTGTAAATTCACGCCATATCCCACCCTTCAAACTGAAACACAGCCATGCAAACACAACTGCTTCACGGACAACTGTGGATATTACAGAATACATTTCAATCTGTATCAATGTTACTATATTTCAGTTGAATTATTCACTTGTCATTGTATATTTTTGTCTATGGTGCAATAAAGAGTTAAATAAATAATTGTGACACTTAAATTGCCCATCATGCATTGCCAAGATGTCTCCATGCCTTGTAATTTTACCGATATATGGTATTTTACTATTAAAATTTAAACATAGCTAAGCTAGCTTTTTTTTTTATATCGCAATGGCGTAAAACAAGCATACAGCCCGTTTGATGGTAAACGGTCACTAGGTTATGGACGCCTGCAATACTAGGTGTCACGTGCGCGCTGCCTACCTTGAAGAAAGCTTAATATATCCTTTTTGAAGAACCCCATACTATCTAGGTAAAACTTTGACAGGGAGCTCTTTCCAAAGATTGAGCGTTCGTCTTACGTATTTTACTCATATGTAATTACAGCAGAACCACTAGTGGGACAACAGTACCCACGCAGAAGACATAAATTCCCGATTTAGAACTAGTTAATCATGGAAACATTCGTGTCTTGATGATCTGCCGTATAGTTTTTGGTCTATTTATTGAATTTTAATTATCATTAGTATTTCTCAAAACATTAAAACTATTGTTTTAAATCTTTAATTTAAAATTTAGTAATTAATTACTTGTTCTTTACTTGAGTTTACTTTTTGTAAAAAAAAAAAAAAATCAATGACTTATCGATCTTTACGATTTCTAACTTCAAAAACCATTTCAAAATCCTTTTTGAAGTCGTTTCTGATATTAATTTTTGATATAACCGAATTGATAACCTCCAGAAGGAAGTCGTATTTTTTTATGTTTGTTACCTGATAATCCCATTGGTTATAAACCGATATGGATAATTCTTTTTTTGTCTTAAAGGACATACAAATAGGTCTTGTAGAAATCATCATAATCGATTAAGTAGTTAAGTTTTGAAATCAAAACAACTGGTTTTGCCCCAATAGAAGTTTTTTTTTTATAACACAATTATTCTATAATAAAAATTAAATTATTTTTAGAAATACTAATAGACTCCCGTTTTCTTTTATCTGTGTGTAGATACATTTTTGCAGAACTATGACCATTTCAGTACAAATATATTTCTTTCTATCAGGGTAGGGTATACAAATGAAAGTGATTAAAATTTTTCTAAATTATTTTTATTCCCTTTATCATCTTTTCTCTTCTTAGGGTACCTTAGCACTATTTACAGTTTGTATAAATTAACATAGTAATATTTTACAGATAGGCTACTATTGTACAACACGCTTTTATCACTGAAAGTCTTGACTATTTAAAGATTTAAGGGGGCCATTACCATCGGAGTTCAAATGCATTTCTATTTCGAGCTTAGCGGTATACGGAAGTGACGTAACACGCTCTCACTCACCGCCGACGCTCGCGATTGTTTTCAATGAAATGAAATTGAACAACCCCGGCATAAATAATATGTAAACAAAATAATTCAAAAACAATTAGTAAAAAAGAACAATTTAGATATGGTAACATTATTGATTTATAATTTGGAAAAAAAAATAGAAAAGAATAATGAAAACGAAAATTGATCTCAAAATTTCAATCACAATAAAACTCAACACCAAGTACCAAATGGGAAAATAATTTAGTTTATAGGAAGAAGTGCCGCCTTCATACCGTCTATTATTATTATCAACAACAAATAAATTATTACGTTTAAATTAAATAAATGGCACAGACCAAATTCTACGACCATTATCGGTACATGGTGATGTGTGTGTAAAAATATTTTTTCAAACATAATTTCTGATTGATACATGAAATAACATAATAATAATTTAGTTAACTGTCGATTTTTCAAATAATCACGATTTAATATAACCAAATAATATAATCAAAAATAACTCTATGATGGAAGCAAACGAACGTTGTGCAACAAAAGAACTATCACTTCTGCGTAACAACATAATGGCAATCTAATAATCGCTAAATAACATCGGTGGAGATCACAATTACATGAATTATAAGTTTACTTTCATATAAATATAAAATATACATTTACATAGGTAATTTACCTAAGGCTACAGCGTACAGCAACAATTTCAATGCAATATAGTAATTAATCTATACTGTTGTGAAATTGATATGGTTACATTAGGCTTAAGAGGATTTAACGTAATAGTTAACATAATGCTTCATATAAATAATTCGACACGGACAGTTTCGGACAATGAAATAAACATTTGTACGTCCCGGCATATGGCGGACACCAAACGATCTGTCTCAAAGCCCGAATCGATCTACATGCTCGACGAGAAGAGGCTCGTCGCTACGCTTCCAAAGATCACAAGAACGCGATATCAGTCTCACTTTCTGTCATTACAAACATTATGACTACACCACAGCTCGTAAAAGCTTAAACAAAATACCGCCAATAAAACCCGCATAAAACTGTAATTTCGTTGGAGCAGCGTTTGTTTGCGCTGTTGTTGAATTATGCGATTCTTATTGCAGATTTCGAGCTTCTAGATTATAAATTAGAGTGCGGCGGGGCGCGGGCCAGCCGCCCCCACCAACTGATCCCACTTGGGCCTTAATCACTAAAACAAAATCTCCACAGAGACCTTCATTTGGCTTCGGGTACTACTACTGAAATAATATTGAACACGTGGTATTGAAATCGACTTTTGTAATAGACTATTTCAGTGAGCGCAACCGCAACCTTACAGCGGACATAGGCCGGAATAACTTATAATAAATTCATAAATATATTTGAATCACAACGAACGTCCATTACGCGCGTTGATACTGCTTACATCTTTATATGGAACATATTGAAATGATCAGTACGAACGATGCGCCTGGACAGACTATTGCATTAAATGTGATAATGAAACTATGTTTCCCCTACCGATGCCAGCACCGGTTATGAGCTGCTCTTCGAATTAACTGCTTGAGAACTAGATACAATCTTCCTCCATGTCGATATCTGGCACGAGTCGATCATGCGAGGCGGCGGCACGGGGCGGTAGCTCGTTCCTAGGGTCTCTTGCGAGCCAAGGGTGTCTGAGGACATCCCTCGCGCTCAGACGCTCGCATGCTTCCCGCCGTAACAGAGAACGTATCAAGCATTTTCCCCGTGATGATAGGCATTCGGGCACTACGAAGTAACCCCGTGATATTTTTGCAAATAATGACGCGTGCTCTGAATCATTGAATGGATATCTGTAACAAAAAATAAACGTAATTAATAATGACAATCAATATTTTGAAAACAGATTATTTATAGACAAAGTTCTGAGTAATGTCAAATAAATTTTAAATTTAAATCTGCAAAATGTCCAATGTAAACTGATAAGTTATTTTACTGAATAGGATATTCGAAAAAACAATTTCATAGAAAAAATGCTTATCGCGTTTGAAAAAGATAAGATAGAATCATTAACATCGACGATGGGTTTGGGGCCCATAAATCGTTCAGTTTTTACAAAGCACGGTACCCAATTAATGACGAACGATCCGATTGTCATTTGGAGAGAGCAGATGCACGCCAAAACAAAAACTCAGGTAATATAGAACCCTTCCGGCGACAGGTGAAGCGGCGATTGCGGCGAAATCCCGAATTCAGAATATAAATTACGGGTGCGAGGGGCCAAAAAAGTAGAAAACAAAGGATCGCGAACGGCAGGTGCGACGGAGAAGGCTCTCGGGAGCGGGGGTAGCAACGTCTTCGCCACATGACCGCGGCAGGTGCGCCGAAGATTTCACTTGACTCATTTATATGTGGGTGATATAATTGTTAGCCGTTGGCGCGTAACGGACGACAGGTGATCATCCCCTAGCCAGTGACGTTGTCGCTTTTGCCAACGGTCGCCCCGGACCCTTCTCGCGATCTTTAAAAACGGTAAGTCCCACGCGGTGCAGGTGAAGACACCCACTCCGTCACCACCCTTTGTTATTTATGCACGTTTAATTGCAATTAACCTAAATATCATTTCCTGTGTCAGAGATAATGAAACAATTTGAATAACAAATTAGAATTTAGTCCTAACGCATATTAAGTAAATGATACGCACCTTCCAACAAGCATCGTGTACAGTATGACGCCGAGGGACCACATGTCTGCTGCTCTTCCTGAGTACGTCCGATGAGCTCTCAGAATTTCTGGAGACACGTAAGCTGGACACCCGCGTTTATCTTGGAGGAGATCTTCTTCTGGATCATCGAGTACAACAGCATCTTCCAACGATTCTAATTTTAACGTCGTTCTGTAACAAAATGAGAGAGAGAGTTTAGATTCGAGAGCTGTATATTAATATACAAAGAAGATGTGGCGGTGTTGTCAGGTCAAATGTGTTATGCGTTTGACGTGCATCGACCACTGACCCATATAATTCGCGAGCGTGCTGTCTATAATACATCAAAGTATATATATATGTATATGGTCCATATGCACTCGCCCGTAATGATTCCTTTGTGCACAAAGCTTTGTCCGGGCGCTATTAACAATTTGCGTATACAGCTAATTAGTGCATAAAGCATCAAACATTATGCGTGCGCTCGAGATAATATTGCAAAATGGTCGCGCGGGCTCACAATTCGATGTATATGTAACAATAATGTCATGTAAATAATTACATGGTGAACCATAAAGCTGTTCAATGATGCAATGGGTTTTGTTTCATCACATCACGGGCTTTAGGCGCACCGTGCGCGACCTCGTATTTCACAGCCGCCGCATCGTTTCGAAATGCATTAAATGCACAGTTCGAAATACTACACCAGGCTATGTATGATTGCATGTAAATAAACCGCTCTGATCGGATGACGAATGACAAACGAGACTTTTCAATTTACATGATCCCTCTACCGCTTGTTTTTAACTTGCGTCCATTGGATTGTATTTAAAAATTCGAAATCATAGTGCAAAAAATAAAAAGTAAGTAATTTGTGGTTGAGGCGAGGCAGGTGCGTGGTGGGCGGTTCGATGTAGATAAATTGAAGTGCATTAATGTTACATACGTAATATTTTTAGAATGTTTAATAATAGTTCAGAAGGGGATGGTATGTTAAATATATTTGTGAGAGTATTTTTCGCCTTTTTCTTGCATAAACCTTTTATTATTATTATTTGTTTCATGCGTATGTAATTAGAAAGATGGAAGTAATAAATACCAAGTTTACTCAAAGTATAGTTACAAAACCTCAAGTTGCGGTCTCGACTGTTTGACAAATTGTCTGCGGACGGACGCAACACTATAGCGGCTGAAATTGACGAGTGTTACGAGTATTGCTACTGCGTGCTTGTAATGAGTAAAATATAAACGAGCTATTCTGGACTGTATTATACAGTATTTTAATAACTTTATAGGTACAGCGCTACTTAATGCAATATAATAGATAAACGATATCGTTATTTATTATTAAACTTATAACACGATCGTGACAATATAGAGCGGTTGGCTCCATCTAAAGGTTACTCTCGTTATGACTGTCGCAACTGGCTGTCAGTAAACGATGTGATACATTATATGAGTGCGCGTCGATATCGTTAGTGAATACCTATTTTGTCATATATGTGAAAAATATCAATATATCTTCACTTTGACTCCCATGAGAGGTAGACAATAGTGTTTATTGCGTGTAAATATCTGTTGAGTCGGTATAATAGTATGAAGGTATAAGCCGTGCGTGTTTAAGCACGTGCCTAGTAATCACTATTTTGCAATGGCAATAGATCTACTGTGGGAACTGCAGTTGACAAAACGAGTGACGTCACCGCACAACTGCACTCTGACCCTTTTTTTGTAATCAGTCAGTGAGTGGCGCGGGCTCCGTAGGACGTCCTCGTATCCGTTTAGGTCTCTTCAACTGCGCAACTGATCCTAATTAAATCCCTACAACGGCAAGGCTAAAGTGCGATGTCTGCAGTTGCAATCGATTCGAATTTCGCAACGTGTAAATAAGTTATACGGTGTCGTAACGCGGTCGGAAGGTTGGCCGGATTTCCGAACGGTGGCCTCGAAGGATTCTCGACGGTGTCTCGGACGCGGGACGGCGGGCGAAAGGACAACTGTCAATTTACGCAATTTGGCATTACGCATACGCAGGGCCGATTTTCGAGTGGCATGTACCCACTAACGCTCTAATCCGAATCGTGAACTCACGCCCAAAACTAAATTGTGTGCATTACTAAATTGACTCACGTTAACAACTTCGCAACTGTGTTAACTAACGTTTCGTTTAAATAACATGTTTGTAAATGGCGTTTGTCGTATCTACTCTTGGTTAAGTTTGTAGAGATCCCATAGCTAGTGTTGTTGCAGTTAAATATAAATACCGTTACGTTGATTGTGTACCGTCGTATATCAACGTGTGGGAGATCGCCCACAATTAGCGGGATGCACAGCGGCGAGATTTCGCAACGGCCGCCATTGCTCAATTCAACCCTGACAGTTTTGTAACAAACAATGGCAGTCAGATGCAGCACACATGCATGCACTTCCTGCTCGACTTATATCGCCAGTCGCTGCCACATGACGTATACTTGCGCAATTGCTAGGAAGTGCTGCATACGCGCGATCATTCACAAAAGAGTCTCGATGCAATGTGTTAGATATTGCGACAGAATTTTAATAGCTACATCGGCGATAGATAATTTGCTAGCTAATTTATAGATAGGTTACTTCCGAGCCCTGTATGCTATGGTAAGCGGTTAGTCATAGGTTTTCGTAACCCGCATTGTAGGGACATGCAGTGTCGCAATCACGTTGCTTCACCGCGGAGATGCCGCTGGGATAGGTTGGGAAACCATCCCGGCCATGCCCAATTATACGTCGGCTCTTATTGTGCAATCGAGCTCCCACAGCGGATGTTTTATGAAATTCGATTGATAACAGTATCGTAGAATGAGGCTTTGTGGCTTATCTATGAGTCTGCATATACGAGGTTTGTCCGGAAAGTACGTATAAAAGTTTTTTAAAAATTTTATTTTACAATTATTCAGGTAAATCAATTTTATCCCCTTCAAAGTACTCCCCCTGTGACATAATGCACTTGTGCCAACGCCGTTTCCACTGTGAGAAGGCTCCTTGAAAGTCCTCTGGTTGTAGGTTTCTCAGCTGCCCCGTCGTAGCTTTTTTTATCTCATTTATGTCCCCCAAATGCCGCCCCCGAAGTACCAATTTGGTTTTTGGGAACAAGAAGAAGTCACACGGGGCCAAATCCGGCGAATAGGGGGGGTGTTCGGTCACCGTAATGGAATTTTTACTCAAAAACTCACGGACAACAAGAGAGGTGTGGGCAGGGGCATTGTCGTGGTGAAGAATCCAACGCCCCTCTCGCGCCAATTCTGGACGAACTCGTGCCACACGAGCTTTGAGGCGTCTGAGCACATCGACGTAGAATTTTCCATCAACTGTCTGGCCTGGAGGGACGAATTCTTGATGGACAATCCCCCGAACATCGAAAAAAACAATCAACATTGTCTCGGCCCTCTCTGAATCTTTTTAGCCACTTGTGGACGGTTGGTTCCTTCACAGCATCATCCCCATAAACTGTTCTGAGATCGGCAAAAATTTCACGGCCATTCTTGCCGAGTTTCGAGAGAAACTTGATTACGACGCGCTGCTCTTCAACGGAAGCGGGCTCCATGCCGACGGGGTTTCGTTAAGAGGTAACTTCACAGATGGCGTGACAAGCCAGTTCGCACCGCACGGCGGTCAGACCAGAACTGAAGCATTGTTAGGGATATAAGGAAGGGGTCCTGCGCTTACCTGGCCTCCCCACTCCTCTTTCTCGCATTCCAGAACACTTTTATACGAACTTTCCGGACAGACCTCGTACATACATGGAGCGTTTGTAAGCAAGCAGAGTTGCGAAAATTGTTAAATTTGTCTTACTACATCCAAACTACGACAATATGACAACTATGTACATATACACTCCAGAATTTAGGTCTCAAAACCGCATAGGCTGCAGCGGTACGGTTCACTTTATCGGAGTAGCGATAACGCAAGTCGAACTCAGTTTTGAAACAGAGCGCTGGGCCGCTTGCGAAAACACTAATGTGAACATCGGTTGCAAAATTGTTTTAGTTTTAAAATCGAATTCATTGAATACATTGTTGGTAGTTTGGTTCATTTACCTATAGAGAGCATATTCGAAATGTCATATGGACACGTCACTAGCCTTTATTGGTGCTCAGTGATCAACAATGCAACTGTAAAGCGGCTGTATTTGGCAGGCGGATAGTGTACGCATACAGGCCGTGTGTGTCACAATGGCGCGGATTATTAGCTGCGTTGCGATATGGCATGTTGCAAGTTCGGGCGGCGGTCCAAGCGCCGCCGCCGAAATAATCCCGTGTTGCAACGTACGGACTGCGGAACGGGCGCCACTCCAGAGCCTGTTGCGCAAACGCCACTGCCACACGCAATTGGCCAATTGCGCACGACCATATCTCAATCTCTCTACACACGCGGTATCGTTTACGAAACAAACGATAACGTTCGATGACCCCCGAGCGCCTGTTACGAGACTATTGCACAACGGAAGAAAGTGTTCAGAATGCGTTCGCAAAAAGTATCCGAAATATCATCGATCTCCCTCTTAAAACGTTGCAATTACACCGTTACGTGGCATCGTGTTAAATCCGGTGAGTGGACGACTTTCTAACACGAGGTCGGTGTACGCAGCGGCGTGTCGCAACAATTTCTCCGAGCGTCGCGAACGAAGAAAGCGCGACCCCAGCTGCGTTTTGCAATCGTACGCCGCTGCTAACAGCATTGACGCGTCGACGCGGCACAGTGGAGAATGTCGTAGAAAGCGTACATCGACCTATAGCTAGTGGGGCTGGAGAACAGTAATTGATAAAACCGCAGAGACTAGAGTACTTGCAACTGCAACAGATGCGTTAACAAGATTCCTGCTGATTCCTGCAACCGCAAAGGCACGAGCCGTTTAGCATAACAGTTGTGCGTCGGGATTGGGCAAGTGGCTCTTTTGTTACGCAAGCCGTGATAAACGCGCGGGCGCATGTCACAGGCATTAGTGAAACACATCCGTTCATTGACTCGTTCCCGATATAACAGTGCTTAACTATTTCGAAATTCTTTGACTGCACACGTGTAAGGACTCTAGGCCACGGGAAAAAATTTTAGTATATCTATAGTTTGATCTTTAGGACCCATTAAACAGACACGCTCGAAAAGCATTGTAGAAAGATACAGGCTCCCTAGTCCCGCTACATATAAAAAATGTTGTAATA